CGAGATTCTCATCTAGGACAAATTGAAAACGATTTCAAAGATCCTGAAGGTGGATTTTGGGAGAAAAATAGCTCAGAAGGTATCGTAAGAAATTCTGAAGTATGCTAGAAATTCCCTTGAAATTCGAGGCCATTGTGGTTCAATTGCAACTAATTAGCTAAATACCCTTCCGATCGCCAGTTTTACCTTTGGCATCTCGTTTATTCAGATCGCTTATTTATATTGTAGTCCTACGTGGCGTAGAGCTCATGTGTGGGCTGGGTGACTTTGCAGGGATCCAGATGTAAATGTAAATGTTTTGCAGCGTTTTCGTTGAGGTAAAAAAGCTCGACTCTAATTTGCATATATGGTGACTGTAACGCGATACACCTGTTTACGTCTCTGAAAAAAACACTCGACTTCCGTTCTGCTTTCGAGATACGTTTGCTCGTATATCAATACAAATGGTTTGTTTCAGCATCATATTGAAACAGCTATAATTTTTTAACATTTTTTCCCTATAAAGTTCTAGTGAGTGAATGGTTTGTAAAAGAAATATTAGTTCATACAATAATGTTCAATATTATTGTTTTCAATCAGCCGAAATAAAAGAAGTGATAACTCTTAGTGATAACTCTTACTAGTTTAAATTGACCAAGGATCGGATCTGAACGAGAACACCCCGAGAACGAAGTTTGTTATTGCCCCCCGTATGTAAACATACGAGGAATTTCAAAAACGTAAGAAATATGTTGGTAGTGTGGGAAGTTTTCTCGATTTGACTAAAATAGGCGCGTACGGTGGGCCGTCGATAAAACCAGGAACATGGAACATCCCGGAACATCCCGGAACATCGAATAATTATCATAATTACGGAAAAAATATGTAAAAATAAAATTTTAAAAAAATTACGTCAAACAAAAAATAAACTGGTATCAGCTCGGAAAATAGAAACAAAACAAAAACATAAAAAAAGGAAAAAAAGAAAGAAAAATGAAAGTTACTACAATGATCGAAGGCTAGCAACTAAGAAGAGTAATCCATTCCTTCCAGTCGTACACCGTCAGTTTAATCACGTGACTGTCCTTTATTCTCAGATTTCGTTCTTCACAGGAAACTAAGGTGGTGGCGTTCGAACTCCTTAATCAGACCTAAAAGTATGGGTACACGACTGTGATTTCTTCATTCAATTCATTACGCAATTAGTGAATACAAAGATATGCGTATACGTGATTTCTCATGAAGAAATTGTTTCTCCATGAGATAGAAATAGAAACTCTTCGGCATCGAGTTTCTTGTCTAAACTAGTTCGGACTGCTCGACCTCTGCTGACAGTGTAAACAAATACAAACACAAAATTTAAAAACATTTGGCGGCGCGCGCGCTGTCTTGCGGATCGCTGGTCAAAACTTTATTGTCTCTAGAAATATTTGGTACAAGTGTTGGCGATCTGAAATTGAATTCTAAGTGTCGCCAACAGTTCAAATGCATCTCCTGGAAAATG